TGTCGTCTTTTCACTAAAAATTCCAGAAAATCTACAGAAAATGTTTGTGAACAATGATAGATTACAGAAACTAATAACGGGATAAGATTACTTAATTTCGATGATAAAAGTTAATTTTTATTTTCTCAACTTGTTTGTTAATAACTAATTAGTTTACTTTAGAATTTTTGTTACATTTTTTGTCGTCGTTATTTAATAATTTTAAAAAAATCGATTCTCAGAACGTAACCACCCAAAGGATGATTTGAAAGTTGACTTTGCGCTCAAACTCAGTAATTATACATCATTAAAACGTTTTATAAGTCTCAAATGAATCCAAAAAAATTCTCCACAATACTACATGCTCAGATCAACTACCATACATTGCCAGTCACTCCCTTTCAGCCTAAATCTTAACACAAAACAAAGATTAAAAATAAGCTTTTTATAATTAAGTAATGAAGTACATTCTCAGTTCAACTATACCATACATTGCCGGTCACTCCCTTTAATTGCTGTCTTTACTTTAAGATCAGAAACAGAATTCTCAGAAAGCCATTAAATTATATTTACATTTGTTTCGAGATTTTTAGGACCGATAAAACATGATAATTAAACTGAGACGTCAGACGGAAAAAATGAATACAACTTTAATTTGACCAGTTACAGAATATTTTTCAAGCAAAATGCAAATTTCTGTGAAGTTTGCAAAGAATTTGCAGAAGGAGCTGTAAACCGGTTTTTGTCTAATTTGCAGTAAACGTTCATGTTTAACAGTATTTAGATAGATATACAGGGTGTCAGAAAATATGCAAAATATTTATGATATGGAATTTATGCGAGAAGGTTTTTATAATTTTGAACTAATTGCCTATACATGATGTTTTTTTTTCATTTATAATAATCATTAATAATCAAACGATCTTTTACTTCTTACAATCTGTACTATCTAAAAAACTTTGATTAAATTCATTTCTCAATCGTTTTCAGTTTTTCAGTAACGACTCCCGGTAACTATTTCAAATCTGATAAAACATGGTGTTATATTTTAGAATGATTACTAGCCTCAAACTCGTCTACATAATTTCGTAGAAGTTCAATATGAGATACTATGAATTTTGCTCCATAAAATAGTCAAAGTTTGAAATATCAAAGGTTTACACCATTATCTTGCAAAAATTAGAAAAGTGATAAAAATTAGATTTTGAGGAGAGTAATCAGATTTTTATACCTGCTTAACAAAAATCTGATTGAGTCAGATATAAGTAGAAGTAGTTGAACTACGTAGATTAACCTTGTCAACATAGATCAAGTACTTCTTCCTTTTTATTAAATTTAGTCCCTAGAGTTCATTCTGATATTTTAACCATTTTTTTATGACACTCTGTATTTTTATAAAAAAAATGTTCCGAGCACGTCTCTCCGCTCTACACTGTAGTTAAACACGGTGTAATTACACCCCTGAAGATTATTTTAAACTGCTACCTAATTTTGAACTGCTCCAAATATTTTTCAAGATAATGTTTTTTTTCAAAAAAGTACAACATCATCTCTTCCCAAAACTAAAATCAAAATATTTCAAAAATTATAAAAAGTACCAACTGAATTGCATAATGTCAAAATAAATGCAATAATTTTTATTGAAATTGTAATTCATTTTCAAAAGAAAGCACAACTATGTCAGAATGAAAAAATGTCAACAAAAATTGTAAAAACATTTAAATGTTGTAATATTTAGTTTTAAAAATAAAGATGTATTTCTGAATATGGAGAGGTTTGTAATCTTTATTAGTTTTGTTATCTGACACTTTTTAAACAGTATTATTTAAACATTAAAGACGGTTAGATTTAAAACTGCAACATGCCTTTCATTTTCTTTATTTTATGTGAAAACTTCAACATTTTCTTTATTTTATGTGAAAACTTCAACATTTTCTTCATTTTATGTGTAAACTGCAACATTTTCTTCATTTTATGTGTAAACTTCAACATTTTCTTCATTTTATGTGAAAACTACAACATTTTCTTTATTTTATGTAAAAAACTGCAACATTTTCTTTCTTTTATGTAAAAAACTACAACATTTTCTTCATTTTAAGTGAAAACTGCAACATTTTCTTCATTTTATGTGTAAACTTCAACATTTTCTTCATTTTATGTGAAAACTACAACATTTTCTTTATTTTATGTAAAAAACTGCAACATTTTCTTTCTTTTATGTAAAAAACTACAACATTTTCTTCATTTTAAGTGAAAACTGCAACATTTTCTTCATTTTATGTGTAAACTTCAACATTTTCTTCATTTTATGTGAAAACTACAACATTTTCTTTATTTTATGTAAAAAACTGCAACATTTTCTTTATTTTATGTAAAAAACTGCAACATTTTCTTTATTTGATGTGAAAACTTCAACATTTTCTTCATTTTTTTGTGAAAACTTCAACATTTTCTTAATTTTATGCAAAAACTGCACCATTTTCTTTCTTTTATGTGAAAACTTCAACATTTTCTTCATTTTTTTGTGAAAACTTCAACATTTTCTTAATTTTATGTGAAAACTGTAACATTTTCTACATTTTATGTGAAAACTGCAACATTTTCTTTATTTTATGTAAAAACTGCAACATTTTCTTTCTTTTATGTGAAAACTTCAACATTTTCTTCATTTTTTGTGAAAACTTCAACATTTTCTTAATTTTATGTGAAAACTGTAACATTTTCTACATTTTAAGCGAAAACTGCAACATTTCCTTCATTTTATGAGGAAACTATATTTCATGTTAAAAAGGAACATTTTCTATATTTCATGTTAAAACTGCAACATTCCCTACATTTCTTGTAAAAACAGAAACATATCCTACATCTCTTTTTAAAAGTGAAACATTTCCTACATTTCGTGTTAAAAGTGAAACATTTTCTACATTTCTTGAAAAAAACTGCAACATTTTCTTTATTTTATGTGAAAACTTCAACATTTGCTTCATTTCGTGTTAAAAGTGAAACATTTTCTACATTTCTTGTAACAAATTCAATATATCTTGTATTTATTGTTAAGACTGCAATATTTTCTTCATTTCCCGTTTAAACTGTAACATCTCCTACATTTCTTGTTAAAACTTCAAAATCTTCCTAATTTCTTATTATAATTGCAACATCTACTTTATTAGAAATCAGAACGGCAGCAACTCCTTTTGTGTTTAAACTTTAGTATCTTCTTCATTTTCATGCTAAAACTGCAGCTGCTATTACAATCATGTTAAAACTGCATCTTCTTTTATAAGTTTACATCAACACTGCAGCCTTCTACATTTTTAATCAAAAATAGCAGCTTATTTTAAATCCTCGTGCTAAAACTTCAGCTCTTTTTACATATTTTATGTTAAAACTGCAGCTCTTTTTACATATTTTATGTTAAAACTGCCGCTCTTTTTACATATTTTATGTTAAAACTGCAGCTCTTTCTACAATATCTTCAAAAACTGCACCTCCTTCTACAATGTTAAAACTGCAGCTCTCTTTACAATATCTTTATGTTAAAACTGCAGCTCCCTTTGCGATATTTTCATGTTAAAACTGCAGCTCCCTTCACAATATTTTCATGTTAAAACTGCAGTTCCCTTTACAATATCTTTATGTTCAGACTGCAGCTCTCACAATATTTTCATGTTAAAACTGCAGCTCCCTTTACAATATTTTCATGTTAAAACTGCAGCTCCCTTTGCGATATTTTCATGTAAAACTGCAGCTCCCTTCACAATATTTTCATGTTAAAACTGCAGCTCCCTTTACAACAACTTTATGTTAAAACTGCAGCTCTCTTTACCGCAACTTCATGTTAAAACTGCAGCTTTTTTACCGTAACTTCATGTTAAAACTGCAGCTCTCTTTACCGTAACTTCATGTTAAAATTGCAGCTCTCTTTACCGTATCTTCATGTTAAAACTGCAGCTTCCTTTACGATATCTTTATGTTAAAAATGCAGCTCTCTTTACCGTAACTTCATGTTAAAACTGAAGCTCTCTTTACCGTAACTTCATGTTAAAACTGCAGCTTCCTTTACAATATCTTTATGTTAAAACTGCAGCTCTCTTTACAATATCTTCAAGTTAAAACTGCAACTTCCTTTACGATATCTTCATATTAAAACTGCAGCTCTCTTTAGCGTAACTTCATGTTAAAAGTGCAGCTTCCTTTACAATATCTTCATTTTAAAACTACATCTTCCGACAATATCTTATTTTCACTAAATAGCTCTAATGTTCTACTTCATACCACAATAAATAAATAATGAACACTAAAATTCAAGTTTAAACTCAGAATATGGCAGTTAAAAGAAGTAAAATCATTCTAGACCTGAGAATAGCTTCTGGGTGTGGAATTCTTTAGTAATACCAGTTTTATTACTTTTTATCTTTTTTTCTAACTATTTGTGTAAATACTTATTTTTTGTTAATTTTAATCATATTGCCTTCATGGCTATCTATAACAGCAAAAAAATAACATAAAATGAACGGGTTTTTTCAAATTTTTTATCCAGGCAGTCAGGAATTATAATTTATGATCAGAGGGTCTCTAAAAACATTATAGACGGTTTATATATACAAAACCATTCTCGGCGTTTATTCATAAATCTCACACCTAAAAAAGAAACATCCTGCTCCCGTTATTCTTGGAATTTCAAAATGATGTTTGCCTTTAAAAATAATTCTGAACCAAAAACATCATCGGTGTCAAAATTGAGTCATGTTTTAAGAAAGTTCACTTTTTTAAAACTTAATTTTTTAAGTCACCACCACCTCTCCACCCCCCCCCCATTCCCCTTCAATTCTTAAATGGATGATTTGAACGTTGATTCCATGGCATTAAAATGGAAAATAAGGTTTTCGTATTTTATTTATTTGAACACAAATTTTCTTAAAAGAAAGTTGAACAATTTGTGTAGATGTAAATAGATGTTATGCTCACTTCCAATATAATGTTTTTCCTATACTCTGCAAATTAATAAAGATTAAGATAACTATAATTCACAATAATTTATTAATTAAATAAAGATTAAAAACTATATATTTCACATATCACAGCCAAAAAAAGGACGACACAAAAACGAAACTATAAAGGTTCAAACAACACTTTCATGTCTCTTCTTTCTCCCAAGATTGTTTGGTTGGTATTCGTCTAGATTACTTCTACTGGTGTCTCCTCCCGGAGTAATAAAATTGTTTGGATTTACCCTCAACCCTGCTCCAGGTACAGCTCCAGGTACGGATCCTCTGAAGCTGTAGTAGTACAAGGATCTGGTCAGAACCTGCTGGGCGTAATCATCATGAGAAAGTTCCTCAGGACGTTCCTCTTCTCCAGGTTGTCCATAGGGCTGGAGCTGTTCATTGCTCTGTCTGTGCTCCCCTGAATCTGAGATAGAATCATCTGTACTTGTAGTTGGTCTGGAGCTATTACTTCCCTCCTCAAATCCTTTCTTTTGTCCAGACTCAGATCTAGGCAATGATTCTAACCAACTGTAAATACCACTCTCCGTCTCAACTCTCTCAACCTTAGTTTCCGGAGTAAATCCAGCTTCATATGTATCCTGAACCCACTGTGTTTTACTTCTCTTTAACCGTTTAGCTCTAAGGATAAGAGCAAGGATAAGAAGAACTATGATTAGAAGAACTCCACCCCCTACTCCTGATACAATATATATCTGTTGTTTATCAAGAAACCAGCTGAGTTTACCAAGCTTAAGTTCTTCTTGTATCTCTTCATCCTTCTTAGTAATATCAGAATCAGTATCTTCATCAACATATACTTGAACAAGGTTACTTATACGTCCTCTGTTCCCAGCAACATCAAATGATGTTAAAGCAAAGTAGAATAGTTCATTGGTCCAAGGAACCCGGGTTAATATTCTCTGTATAGATCCTGAACCTAGAGATATCAAGGTTGTACCCTGATTTACAAGGATACCTTGACTAGTAAAGTTCTCTTCAGACAAGGCTAAAGGATTGGTGTGACATCTTATTTCATATTTATCCACTCTTCCTTCATCATAGTTGTCTCCAGGAGCAGTCCATCTTAGCTCTAGGTTCAGAGATGTAGAGTTCTCAAGTTCAGGTTCAGATAGCTCCGAGTTCTCTAGGTAGGAGGATGAATTGAGCAGGGTTAAACTCAGATCAGATACTCTGGACGGAGGAATTATATCTTCTCCAGGTACTACTCCAACCTTGACAAAGAAGGACGGAGCAGCAACATATCTCCGATATGAACCAGTGGGTATCGGAGCTCCCTCTGACAGAGTAAATGATCTTCCGTTATTATCCGAAATAAGTATTCTCACTGTATAGTATCCAGGTATACTGGAGAATACAGACAAATATCCAGAATATACACCATCTCCTTCCTTGATATCCGAGTATCCTGTATCCTTGAGTAATATTTCTGTATCAGAGTTAGGTCCGGATACAATAGCTCTGATCTCAGCTCCATGAACTGGTTCTTCTCCTCTCTCAACCCTAGCCAGTATCTGTACAGGGGTGGAGAAGTTGTCAACCTTCAAGGTTTGTATTCCTACAATCCTTATTTCTTTCTCTTTTCCTCGTGCTACCACATCAACAAGCATCCTTGTTCCTGGTAATCCTGCCTCTGGATACAGTTTAACATGATACGTCCATATTCCTGGTTCACTTAATCCACTATACCGGAGTAAAACCATCCCGTCCTCAAACTTGGAGAATATATTCTTTTGTCCTGATGGATCAATAACTTCAAAATATTCTATCTTCTGCTCATCTTCAACTGTTAGAGTTACAGTTATATCTTCTCTTAGGTTTTCTTCCACAATAAAAGTTCCAGAGAATTCATAAGAGAGATGATCAGACTCATGAATCTTTGCAAGAGTATCTTCTTCAACTCTGTTCATTATATCAATAAGTACTTCATTAAGTTGGTTTAGTGGAATCTCAGTATTCTCTTCAAGAATAGAATAAACTGTTCCAATATTGGTTTCCTCCCTTTCTGGATATAGAACTGTATATATCTCAGTTATATCATCTACCTGGAGATTAGAATACAAGTTTCCAGTTACAAGTATAATGGATCCAGAGCTTCCAGCTAATATATCCTTGGCTAGTTTTATCCCACATGATAAACATGTTTCATTAGATTCTTCTATTCTTCTTGGTATTCTTCCATGTAAACCTTCTCTATTAGTATGTGTAACTACTGTAGGAGGTAAAACTAGGTTACCTTCTCTACCATAGGTTATAATACTCAACATAGTTCCATCCTTGAGATTATTTATAAACCTATTAAAAGATTTCTTGATATTTATCCATCTTTGGTTGATATCCATGATACTGGTTTGATCTAGAACTAGAACATAATGTTCTTCTCCTTCTACAACATATCTGAACTCAGGTTGAGTAAAGTTGACAGGTTGACTCCGGGTACCAATTATATCTAGAGGGTTCCGGCCTTCGCAGATTATATTTTGCTCCGTCCTACTTATCCCATCATAGCTGGTATCATTTAGAACCTGAGTTAGGGATTCATAATCTTGGAGAAATACTCCGAACCTAGAGTTTATTAGTTGTGTCATCACTGTACTCTCCAGGTTGGGTTTATTCAGTGCAGAGAGAGGTAGTGATACACCTAAACCCTGAGCTCCACAACCACGAGGTTGAAGAGAGTAAGGTTCAGCTCCTTGATGTTGCAGGATAAGGTTGGGTTTAGCTCCAGATATCCGGGTGGATAAAACAGTCCTTCCAGGTTGACAAGCAGCCTGTCTCCAGTGTTTAGGTAAACTGATTTCAATATTAGAGATATCATGTCCTAATCCAAGATCATTCAGTCCGGAGAAACTTGAAACCAAAACATCCTGAAATAGAAATTTTATGACGATCGTTTCAGAAGTTTTATTCAATAAGATCAGAATGTCAAAACAAATTCTATTTGTAGCAGATTTTTTTCTTCAAGCTTTGATATTAAACCATGTAAAGTATAAAGTGACAATAAGACCGACTTGAATTCATTACCTGGAGCCGTTTAAGTGTTTCTGTACAGTTTTCTAAAGGAACTGAGTTAGATATTTGAACTCGAAATCTTGCGGGGTTTTCACAAAATAAACTTGGAAGAGATATTATTAAAAATATCAACCGCATGATGGCTACTTTAGTTCGAACACTTTTAGTGAGATGTTTTCATTTCAACCTTACTAGATCACGGTTTGTAAGTGACTGTCAGACACAGACAGACTGAGATAAACTTCTGACTGGAGTAAGGTTGGTGCGGGGTCGGCGGAGAGTTCTGAAGGGTTCGCGCCCCCGTCTCGGCCCGGACGGTCCGTCCGCACCATTTTCTTAAAAGTTTTGACCTGACCCGGCAAAAAATCCGCGAAATCTGAGAAAATTTCGGGAAATCTCCATGAGCGCTGTGCATGCAGCAACATTTTGCAGAATTTTTCAAGTTTCACACTAGTCCTTGCACACATATCACGCTCCGAGCAACGGGAATTCGCAATGATACCTAAATTGTCCAATTTCCCAGAATTAAATGATTTTGATAAATTCCATGGCAAATAAATCCCAGGTTTCCAAGAAAGATGAGACGTCAAAGACAACTTATATTGTAAACTGTAAAGGCTTAATTTGTCTTATTAATTGTAAAGTTTGATTGCGTACATGTATTCTATTTATTTATTAAATTACTTTATTTTCATTCATAACAAAGACTGAGATTTCCAGGTTGTCATTAAAGCCTTGTGTGGGCAAAACTGAAAAAAAAAATTTCTGCTATATTTTAAATTAAGTAATATCGTTACAGCTAAATTGCAATAAAAAACTTTGTAACGCAAAACAAATCGTTAATGAATATCCCCATCATCTCTTTAAGGTCTTGACATCGGTTCTATTGTTCAATAACTCACGGTTGTTATTGAAAGAATTCAACCTAAAAATAGATTTTAAAAAGAGTTCAAATCAAAACCAATCTTTCATCCCTTCCTGTCTATTTTCTATTTTCCGTATCAAATTTTAAATTTATCAACATTAAATCATTTTTTCAGTGAGCCACACGAAAATTAAAATATTTTTAAAGAATTTCTCGATCTCGTAGAAATTCTTATTTCTAATTTAGTCATTATTGGATTTTAATTATGAGTATCTATCTATTCTCGTGCTTAATCACCCAACATGCACCGCGCTGATAACTTGATAACTATGGTTAGATGATCAAAACGTTATTGCACCCCCCGGCCCCGCCCTAGGCATCAGAGCTACGCCCTCCCGCAGTGTTTTAATTGAGGCGGGGCACAGCACAGCCAAACTCAATATTCTGCAGTCTGAAGGATGGATGTTCTATACATTCTTTTAAAAAATATGTTAGACTTATAACAGGGTGCATTGCAGGTAATCTATCATTGTGCAGCTGATCTATACTACAAAGCCTTTCTATTTTGTGCATTTTGATTTCGCGGATTTTCCTCTTCTCTTTGGTAGATTTCTAATGTCATCGAACATTTTTAAAGATTTTTTCCAACAAAATTATGAAACCCCATTTTTTTAAATAACAATTTTAATAAACGAACATTTTTTTTTGAAAGATTGAAAAAACGAACGATTTACGAACAAAATGAATCATTTTAGGTACAGATAAAAAAAATGGTGGCCCTATGTGTTCAGCAGTTTATTGGATATTAAGTGAAAAATTATTGTCTAGCCAAGAGACTTAAGTCAAACATATTTATACATATTTTTTATATTTTAAGACTATATATTATTTCATAAATCTTTGGACGCAAAAAAATGTCTTCAATAATATATATTAATTTTTTTTAAATTTTTGATTTCTGCGTCTTTTTATTTTGCCGATCTTCATCTTTTCTTCACAGTTCCTTCTTATTAATCGTAAATTATCCTTGTTTAGTTCAATGTAATAATCTAGACATGCATTAATTTATTGCTTATTGTTGCCTCTAGCCCCCCCCCTCCCTCTTCACCCCTGCCCCCCTCTCCCATCCTCGCTGATTANTACAGTTTCATGAGTCCTACTGTATATATCTACAGTTTCATGAGTCCTACTGTATATATCTACAGTTTCATGAGTCCTACTGTATATATCTACAGTTTCATGAGTCCTACTGTATATATCTACAGTTTCATGAGTCCTACTGTATATATCTACAGTTTCATGAGTCCTACTGTATATATCTACAGTTTCATGAGTCCTACTGTATATATCTACAGTTTCATGAGTCCTACTGTATATATCTACAGTTTCATGAGTCCTACTGTATATATCTACAGTTTCATGAGTCCTACTGTATATATCTACAGTTTCATGAGTCCTACTGTATATATCTACAGTTTCATGAGTCCTACTGTATATATCTACAGTTTCATGAGTCCTACTGTATATATCTACAGTTTCATGAGTCCTACTGTATATATCTACAGTTTCATGAGTCCTACTGTATATATCTACTGTATATAACCAGAAAACTCTAAAATAGGAAGCGAACTTTCATAATCAAGTCATAGCTTAAAAAAATCGATGAGTAAGAGACACAGCATTTTACGCAGTGAAAAATTACCCATTTCACTAAATTAGTGATTAAAATGTCCCTGGTAAAACTGTTTTGCTTTGTAATGATATCAGATACACTTAAGTATTGCTATAATGGCGTCTTCATATTCCTTTGTTTTTTTGGTGATCACTGTAACCCAACAGTTTATTTCTAATTGGGTCTCAAGGTATGCTAATAAATTTAATTAAATAATTTAGAAATATTTAATTGGAAAATATTGCAAAAAGGGTTGAGAGAGGTTGTCAGTGAATAATTTGAAATATTTGGATAATTTTTCAATTCAATTCGAAAATTTATTCAATTGCTGGAGGCATCCCATGGAATACCTAGCTTCACCCTCAAACCCTATCATCTTCCTCTAAACACAGATTATACAGATTTCACAGATACACCAGGATCACAAATTAGACGGATTTTACAGATACTCCAATATCACAGATTATACAGATTTTACATATACTCCAGTATAACAGATTATACAGATTATAGACATATACCCGTATCACAGATCATACAGATTATATATATAAACCAGTATCACAGATTAAACAGATTACATAGATACACCAGGATCACAGATTATACATATTATATAGATAAACTAGTATCACAGATTATACAGATTATAAACATACCTGTATCACAGATTATAGAGATTATAAACTAGTATCACAGATTGTATAACAGATTATACAGATACACCAGTATCCAAGATTATACAGATTATATAGATAAACCCGTATCACAGATTATAAACATTATATAGATAAACCAGTATAACAGATTATACAGATTATATAGATAAACTAGTATCACAGCACAGATTATACAGATTATAAACCAATATATCGGATTATACAGATTATAAACATACCTGTATCAAATATTAAACATAAACTAAAATCACAGTCTTATCTGGTTGTTAATCGTTTTGTTTGTTCTTGAGGTTTTTTAAACTTTTGAAATGTTCCACAAAAATTTGAGAAGTTTTTAAATTTTAAAATAGTTTTTTCTAAATATGTGCTTTTCTTCCACTGAGCCAAATTAGGACCCAGAGAGAAAATAAATCCAAAAAAACATAAGCAAACCGGAAGCGTTTTTCCCTTTTATTTTCTTGGCATAAAAAAAATTGTAAATATTAATAAAAGCAAACTTTAACAAAATACAGTTTTAAGATGTTGTAAACTTTAGAAAGAGATTTGTTTTAAAAAAACAAAAAATGCTTAACAACCCTACTTAAAGTCACAGATTATATAGATTTAAAATATAAACCGGTCTAAAGGTTACAATATTAAGCAAATAAGTTGAACACTTGACTCAAACCAAACTACAATTTTTAAATCCCTTCTTGCAACCTGATGATGAACACCTTTAATATTTCAAACTATTGAATTTAGCAAAATTCATAGTTAGAAATATTAGTGGTCTGCAATATTAGGATGCAAAGATATAACTATTAGAAAGTTAGAGTATGAAGAAAGTACTTCGTAATTTGTTCTTTTGGATAAATCCTAAAAAAGTAAACCTATAAATGAGTTTTAACTAGGTTAAAACAAACACTATCTATTTATTTATGATTGGGTTTGTTCACGTGGCATTAAAGAAAGGTTAAAGAAAGTGAGAAAATTCTTTTTATTGAATTAAACATTTCTGAGAGCTAGCCCCCCCCCCTGTCCCTTCTCATACCTGAATTCTTTATCAATTTAAAAGCTCCGAAATTAGTCTATAAAAAGCAAAAAAATTGGAATCTTGCAAATCATGGCAGCGGAACGTATGTCTGTCTGTAAACCATATTGTGTCTGTGAGTTGTCTCCTAGTGTTTTCTATTGTATTGTATCTACCCTGTCTACCCTGTCTATTCCCATATATGGACATGTATCAGTGTGTAAGTATTCTGTATCAAGGATACACAAGTTGGGAAATATTTGGATATTTTATTCAAATAAAAATACCACCCAGGGTTTCCCCCTGGTGTATACATAGTAGGAGATTTCTCGATAATACAAACCCCGTTTTCTCCATATTCTGTCTGACATAGAATATTTAATCCATGAAATTATATAACTTACTGAAAATCTTTTAGAGCCATATATTGATCCAGTTTTCATATATTGATCATAAATTAATCCAGTTTTATCCATGAGATCATATATTGATCAAGTATAATCCAGTTTTACCCATGGGATCATATATTATCAAGTATAATCCAGTGTTATCAAAGGGATAAAATATTGATCAAGTATAATTTTACGGGTCCAATTGGGATCATATATTTATCAATTATAATCCAGTTTATTCATAGGATCATATGATGATCAAGTGTAATACAGTTTATTCATAGGATCACATAATGATCAAGAATAATCAAGTTTTATCCATGGGATCATATATTGATCAAGTATAATCCAGTTTATCCATGAGATCATATAATGATCAAGAATAATCCAGTTTTACCCATGGGATCATATATTATCAAGTATAATCCAGTGTTATCTTAGGGATAATATATATTGATCAAGTATAATTTTACGGGTCCAATTGGGATCATATATTTATCAATTATAATCCAGTTTATTCATAGGATCATATAATGATCAAGAATAATACAGTTTATTCATAGGATCATATAATGATCAAGTGTAAATAGTTTATTCATAGAATCATATAATGATCAAGAATAATACA